CAGAACTCCTTGCCCTGAGTACAGAGTGCCCCTATTGAGAGAAAGGGGGTGTTGCACAGCACCTGGTGAAATCTCATTTCCCAGAGATCATCCCAAGCAAAGAGGTCATCCACAGGCTGCAAACAAGGAGTGTTAAACGTCACTGCAGCAGTTCTTGGCCATCAGGAGGGCCAGAAAACGCCAGTGTTATGCAAATTAGGTGAACATGGGCATTTTCCTAGGTCCTGAGCATAGCTTTTGTTAGATTCTCAACAGGGTTGATGGCCCCCCAAAACCTTAGCACCATTGTGCAATGCATTCAAAATAGAACTGCCCAGACCAACAAGAGCAGATTTTAAAAAATAAGAAAATAAGGAGTCAATGCTGTGGCATAGCAGGTTAAGCCACAGTCTGCTGTGCTGATATACGGTATGCAAGCCAGTTGAGTCCCAGCTGCTCCACTTTCTGATCGAATTCTCTGCTAATGAGCCTGGGAGAGCAGCGGAAAATCCCCCAGGTGCTTGGGCCTTTGCACCCACATGGGAGACCTGGAAAAAGCACCTGGCTCCTGGCTTCAGCCTGGCCTAGCTCCATTTGTTGTGGCCATTTGGGGAGTGAACCAGTGGATGGAAGATCTCACTCTCTTTGTCTCTTTCTCCCTCTCTCTCTGTTATTCTGCCTTTTAAATAAATAAATAAATCTTTAAAAAGAAATAAGATACATGGATCATCTCAGGCCTTGATCTATCCTGCTCTTAACTATCTTAAAACCATGTGGCAAAAAACCCCATTTATCATTGGTCCCATTTCACAGATTAGCAAACTAAATTCCTATGAAACTAAATAGCCCCTACCCATAGGAAAAAATGATGGGTTAGTGAGTTAGAACCAAAGACAAATAGATAACCCCACTGTTCTTAGGAGTGGACACCTCCTGCCATTAGCACCTACCAAGTCACAAACAATCCTGCAGGCCTATCCCTCTGCGGGGTGTGGCACATACTGGGTACTTGACAAAGTTCTCACAAAAATGAAATAAAAAGGTAAGTTTATTTTGATGCCAAAAAAGCTTTGAAAGCCTTCCATAGCTTTTTTCATAATATCCTTTTTTTCCATGAACTTCTCGAAGACCCCTCATATGTGACTGATTTCAATGTCCTAACAACCCTGTAAGACATCAGCTCATTGTGCTTCTGGAGATTTAAAAATTTTATTTAAATAGCAGCTGACATCAAAACATATTCTTTCCCTCAACTCATTTTTCAATGTGAGGAAGCCCAGGCTCAGCAAAGCTCCGTGCAGTACCGAGGCCCACAGTCCTGACCAGTGTCTGAGTAGGGGTCTGAGTCCAGGTCTGTCTGCCTCCCAAGTCCTGCACTGGGACCTGCTCCCAAACTTGGCTCCTCGGGGCAGGAGAATGCGCTTCAGGTCAGGGACAGTTTCTTAGACATCTTTGTATTCCCCACAGAGCCCTGCTGGGCTTCGCATGGCAAGCCACTCAACAAATATTTGTTGGATGAGGGAACGTGGGCCTGGGCTCCAAATCCGCCATGGACTTAGTGACTCAGGCTCCTGCAACTTGGAGCTGCAGGTGGTTACTCAGCTGGGCAACTTCAGGGAACATTTGAAATCAATTATGGGTGAGGAGGAACCTATTAAAACCTGCTCCTCTGTGTACGTTGGGGTTGAAGGAGAGGAAAGGAAGTTGAGACGGAGGGAAAGGAACAGGAAGGTTCCAGGGTTGGGTGCTGGAGCTTAAAGATTTCTCACCAGGACGAGACAAAAGTTGGCTTATGTCCATTACCCAGTTCCAATGGCCCAACCAAATGGGCTGCTGACCTCAGACTACTCTGAGGTGGCCACATTGCCCTGGGCGGCCAGGCCCCTGACCAGCAGTTGCAAAGGATCCTCCCCTGGGCCTCAGTTGCTCTGATTCTGAGATGGAAAGCAAGTGCATTCCTAGGCTCTCCCTAGTAGGAGACCCAGGCACCATCACTGCCTGTCCAAGGGCCGGAGAGACCCTGGGCGCCTGAGGTCTGTGAGCCTTGCCTTGTATTGTTCCCACCCTATATCAAAGTTTCCTGGAGTCCAGCTTCCTATTTTCAGAAACTGTAAGTGAGCAAAGAGAAGTAACTTGACTTAACTTTATGTTCTTTACTAGTTGTTAAAAGTGCTTGTTAGTCACAATCCCCAAAATGCTACTTTAGCCCTTTCGCCTGAGCCCACACACACACACACAAAAAAGCTGACCCCAACCCTAAGGGCTGCCTACCAACACTCTGGGAGAGGTTGATTAAATACAGCTCAGGGGCCAGGGTAGGACATCCCTCCAAGAAATCAGAGAGGTTCCCCACTACGTGGCTCCTCACGCTTTTGTGCATGAAGCAACACTGCCACCTAGTGCCCAGTGCAGGAAGTATTCCCTAAGGGCAGTGGGGGGGGGGTCTCTGCTACAATGGCTGGTGTGGCTGAATTGCTTGAAGCCCTCGCTGAAGGGGAAAGGCCCCAAGTTTAGTAGGGTGAGGCCTGGGAAGCCGGGTTTCAGTCTAGCAGGTAGAAGCTGAGGCTTGAAAATTGCTAGAGAAAAGGGTGCAGCACTTGAATTAGCCTCAGCGGGCAGCAGAATGGTAATAGCTGAATTGTAGGTCGCTCCCAGGGTCCTGAGTCTGCCGCTGTCATTCTGCATGGGTGAACGCCCACCATGGTAGCAACAGGTGGTGCAGCTCAAGGCCACGGGCTAGGGTGGGAGTGGGAAGATGAGCTAATCAGTTGATAGGCAGCAGTGAAGCAGGGTAAACTGGACTCTTTACCCCGAGGGGGGCGACGTTTGGCAGCCTCCTGGTTTTCAGCCAGGAGGTCCAGCAGGTCCTCATGTGATGTATAAGCAGCTAAGCAGATGGATAGACAAGGATGTCCACGTCCTCAGGAGCCTGCGCGCCGGAAGAACGAAGACCTTGTTCCCAACCCCCACTTTCCCTTGACTCCTCACTGGGTGTTTTCTGAAGAAAGGGATGGGGTGGAAGTGGACATGAGATGGGCCTGGGTATTCCTTCCCGGAGGAGACCTCCAGTGGAATTGGACTCTCAGAAGCTAGACCGTAAACGACCTCCTGCCCAACTTCACAAACCTACGGGGGCTACAGAAGGTCAGGTGGGTGCCTGGCAGAAGGAGCTATGTGTGTGTGTGCCACGGTGGTAGCAGGGATGTGGGGGGGCAGTCAGCGGTGGCAATGGACAAGAGGGCAAGGGAGGGAGGCAGACCGGGGAGGACGGAGCAGCAAGGAACACTGGTCCGGGAACCGAGTCATGGCGCTACTCTCCTTGGTGCAGAGCTGAGACAGAGGACATGGGAGGGACGGGACCGAGGTCAGGTGCCCATGGTCTGGAACCTGTTTCTGTAGGTTTGGGCTTTCATAACTCAAGGCAGTGGTCCCTGAGACCCTCCCACATGTAGTCCTTCTCTAACTCCTGGCAGCCAGGGAGCAAGTCCCAGGTCCCTAGGGTGCTACTGCGCAAGGAGGGGCGAGCAGAGCTGTGGGCCCTGGCCTAGACTGCAAGCCTCCCTGGAAGATGGGTCCCAGGAAGCGAGGCCAGGCAGCAAGATGTCATCTGGGAAAACTGTGCGCTGCCAACTCTGGTCACATTATTTCTTCCATTTGGCCTCAGAAGGAGGATTTCCTTCTCCTTGTTCTCTGCCTCCACCTAACTCATAGCCCAGCCCTTTCCCTCCCTCCCCTCCTTCACCCCCTCCCACCCCAAAATAAAATAAAGCAAAACCACAAGACTCACGAGTGCTCAGTGTCTGGGAATCCCAGCTTCCAAAGGAGAAATCACAGCCAAGAAGGGGGAGACAGCCCAGAAGGGATGTTCCAGCAACCCCCACTGAGGGGCCCCCTCCTTCCAGAGTTCTGTCCCTAGACTGAAGCTTACTTGCAGGCACCCAGCAACCTGAGAGGAATCTGGGGAGTCATCCAGCTATTCTGTTCCCAGCCTGCCTCTGGCACGCTGCTCTCTGCCTCAGTTTCCCCATCCAGGGAATGGGACCAGCACACACCAAAGAGAGACGTGGCTGACCCAAGCAAATGAGATTTCAATGTTTTCACTGCACACCTTGCTTTGTGTTGGGCGGTCATGGTGAGTCAGCAAGGATAAGGAGACCCAGGATGATGAAATACGAAGTGTAGTCCCCCACCCCTTGCTTCGAATCGACCTTTCAGTAAGGCAGAGGGAGTGAGCTGCCCCTAACCCCACTCTTCCCTCTGCCCTTCTGGGTGACTTTCCACGAAAGCCAAGGTCTGAGTGCCGTAGAAAATAAACATGGGTCCTATTCCCGGACAGGTGCCTCTGATTAAAACCACTGAGTCATACAAGGTTTCGTTGCTAGGTCCCTCTTACAACAGTCGGGGCTGGAAGCCAGGATCCGGGCTCGTCAGGAGATCCTGCCGCTCCTACGCAGGGGACAGGACTGTTGGGACAAAGTGCAGGAGACCCCAGAGCCTGCCTGGGGTGGTGCATCTTGGCCAGGGGCCAGGGCTGCTCATCCAGCAAGGACCCGGCTGGCAGTGTACCTGGCAGCCCTGCTCCTTGCTGTCTGCACCAGCCCGGGCATGACTCACTGCTCCGGCCCCTGGACTCTCGTCCACTGCCCAAGCGGCCTGGGTATCTCAGCCCGGACGATGAGAGAGGAACTGGGGACCGCCCCTGCCCCCATGTCCCCTTTGAGGAAGGACTCCAGAGACCTCCCCCCTTAAGTCAAGGTGAGAGGGCTTAGCTCGAGGTCTCCCAAGTGCAGTGGCACTACACGAAATCAATACAAGGGCCACGTGCTGCACTTGGAGAGTCGCTGTCTTCTCTTTGTGGGTGTCCGCAGTGCTGCGCCGGCCAAGGAAGCCCTCCCCCCGCGTCTTCCGGGCCAGCCCTTCCAGGCTGTCCTTCCCCCCGTCCCCTCCCGTGTGTAAGGAACCCTGTCAGAACTGGAGCCAGCCGCCCGCCAGGTCCCGGGGAGCCCGGGAGGGGCTCTTACCTGCGATGATGGCCGGGTTGTTCTGTCCTCCCTCGGGTTGCACCCAGGCTTCCACTGTGAACGCCTCCCGGGGAAGCTCAGCCAGCACGTCTGGACGCAGCAGCAGCCGCTCCCGCCTCCCGGAGAAGTACACGACAGGCAGTCCTCCCGGGGGGCTGGTGGGCTCGGCCGCCCAGCCTGGGGCCCCGCCACCATCTTGAACGCCGGTCCCGGACTTCGGGGAATGGTCAGGCCGGGGCTGGAAGAGCGGGAGATCGGGGTCTCCCCGCGCGTCTTCTGCCTGCCTCTTGGTCACTGGGCGATGACGCCTAGACCTGGCCCAGGCCTGCCTCTGGGTCCCTGGTCTGGGTTCCGAGGGGCGTTCGGAGGCCGTGGTGATGGAGGCAGCCGGGGACGAGCTTTCCCGAGCCACAGCCTCACCTAGAGACTCCTTGGATCCTCGGTTGCCAAGATAAGTGTCATCATCTCCCAGCAGCTCAGATTGCCCAATAGGACTGTCCCCTACCCACGGGGCAGCGGGCTGCTCCACCGCACGGCTCGCTCCTCCTGCCTTGTCAGTCAGGTGTTGGGGAGCCAGGCTCGCAGCCTTGCCCTCAGTGTCTGGTTTCATGCGCCCAGCCTGATGGGTCCCCTGCTCCCCTATGGGGAAGGGCCTCAGGTGGCTCCCGGGCCTGCTGGGGTAGACCCCAAAGAGGTGATTCTGGGGAACAGCTCTGGGTCTTCGAAGCTTGGCCCCCAGCCAGCAGCGGTCTCCTTCCAACGGTACCTGATTCAGGTGTCCCCTCTGTGCCAAGGACTGCTTGCGTGCCCAGCCCAGCTCGGCACTGGCAGCACTGAGAGCCCACCCAGCCAGAATCACCAGGCTGAACCGCAATATCTGCACGCACATCATCCCTCCCCCAGCTCTTGGTACAAGACCAGAAGTCAACTCCCGGGTACCACACCACAGTGATGGGGAGACAGAAGGAGGCAGCTAGCAGTGGATTTGCAGTCCTCAGGAAATTGTTTAGTGCACAGACCAAACTTTCTCGAGTCGTCCCCAAATAGTGCCTCTGCTGGCTCCCAGCTCTGGACACTGTGCCAGCGTGGCTCCTGCGCCTCACCCCGCTGCGTGAGCTGCCCTCACGCCTCCCCCTTGACCTGGCTCTTCTGCCTCTATTTTCGTCCTTGCAGAATGAACTTAATTTCTCTGGGTTCCTTTGAATTTCCTCCTGGAGAGCTCAAGTTTCTTTCTTTCTTTTTTCCTTCTTCAGTAATCCCTCCCCTCACGGACACCGGAAGAGACCCACAGGCATGAGCTAAACTCTGTCAAATCCACACTCACAACCCCCTGGCTACCTGAGGCCATTCAACATAATCTCATTTCCTCATTGTCCTTTCTCGCTCTTCTTCCTTCCCTAGGACACCTTTCTTTTCTTGCAACTACAAACCCCAAATATGTGCACCTTAAAACAAATGGCTAGCACGACTTGTATACAGAGACACACAATTTGGTGAGTATTATCTAAAAAGGCTAAGGAAAATCTGGGGCACAGAAATCCGAGCTGGTACTTAACTTTCACTCTGCAGATGTGCTCAGCCAGGTGCCCATCCGGCTTCCAGTCTGCCCGTGTACAGCACAGTGCTTGTTGCCCTCAGAGGGGTGCGTGGGGTTGCTGGTTGTTGAAGGACTTCTCTCCCTTTCCAACTTGTTGGTATGGTGCAAGTCTCCGTGAAGTTCTCCTCTGGGGTGCCAGTCTGCTGTTCTAATAACCTGATGAGCCTGAGAGCCCGTGACTTCGCCCTCGTGGGGTCTGGTGGGTCCCTGGGAAGACAAGGGAGAGCAGAGCACGTGCTCAGGGGACCTGTTCTCTCCGTGTCTCTGCTCCCCTTCTCTCTCTTGCTCTCTGCCTGTAATTATCTTCTTCTGTTTTTTTTTTTTTTTTTTTTTTTCAGTTAAAGACAATGATGATGTCAAAGCTAATAAGTTCGGTGCATCACTCCACCTACTGCCTGTCCCCTCCTTCCTCCTGAAAACCTCCCCACCTCACCGAGGCACAGGGTGCAGACGCTACTCCTCATTCCCCAGTAAACATCTCATCTCGGGCGCTCTCTTTCAGCAGCAGCCTACACAATCAATAGTGAACGATCAATACTGTTTGGAGCACTCTCTGTGTTCTCTCTCTCCCTCTCTCTCTCTCTCACACACACACACACACACACACACAAGTGTTGGGCACAGACCTGCCCACTGCTTAATAAACCCATGCAAGCCTTTCAGGGACCACTTGCCTGGCTTTCTTTTGTTTTGCCACAAACACCTTGTCTTTTTTCTTATTTTAATCATGTGGGGTTTAAAAGAACAATACTCTAAATTCACTTTGTGTTGGGCAGAAGGAGAGGGGAGAAATCAATTATCCTGCTCTGAGAAGCATTCAATGGAATGCCATGAATTCATACTACATGGATCTTTTTTGCCCAGAAGTTTCTCTGTCTGAAGTTAGCAAAAGTCACCATATGCTGAGTGAGCAAATAAACAAATGAGATGCTCAAAATAAGTAATTAACAAAAGTGAACAGCCAGACCCAAGCGACTATTTTTCAATTGCTTTGAAATGAATGGAAAGGACAGGGACAGAAATACTGTGATGGAGATTTCTGTGAGGTTTGCAGAGATGCCTGGATGCAGGCTCTCTCAAAGGGTCTCACCCCAACTACATGTGCACCAACACACACACACACACACACGCACACGTAAACATGGACACACAGAGCTTGGGTCTGAATTCTCTACACAAGTCAGGCTAGGTGAACACAGGTGCTACAAAACAGGTAGAGAAAAAGACGGGGCCCTCCACTCAAGTAGGAAGAAAAATCACTTGTACTTTAAAAATCACTCTGGTGTTGCCTGCGTCTCACACATGCAGCCACATACTTTGGAGTAAACTCACGCTGTCTCTTCTGCCTTGAGTGTCCTCAGCAGCAACTAAACTCCTTGACCCCAGCTCACAACTGACTTCTTGGCTTCAAAGATGCTGTGCCCCCAGACACCCCTCCAGCATCCTGCCCTGCTTCGCAGAGCCGCAAAGCAGATCTCAACCCAGGCACGTGGAGTCATCACAGATAGCCCTCAGCCTTTCTTGCTATTGTATTTCCCAGCTCACTCCACTGTTCACTCAGTCTTCTGTGTCCCCTGACGTAGCTCAAGCAGAGGCTGAAAGGACAGAGAGGAGAGGGGGACAGGGCAGAGAGAGCCAGCAAGGAGGGGGAGAGGGAGAGACAGAGAGAGAGAGAGGAGGGGAGGAGAGGAGTCTTAGCTTAAGGGAAGGGAAGATACTCAGGTAAGAAAGGGCAAAGTCAACTCCCCCCTCCCGCCACGTGCCACCCCCCAAGACCCTCAGAAAAAGATTTCCTACCATTCATTTCAGGAAGGAGGGATAACCCAGCAAGGAAGAAGAATTCAGCCTGCTTGTCTCCCCCTTTTAGTGTGCCAGGGCTCTTGCATCCCCTATAGGGCTCTCCTGGCTCTCAGCTGCCAGTAATCCATTCATAAGGTTTCAAGAAGCTACACAAAACTCAAGCTTCCAGTTTAGTTTCTCTCTCTCTCCCCTTCATTCCTTTGCTCACCACTCTCCTTCAGCTCTTGGCAGTCCAAAGTTAAAAAAAAAAATGTTGAACCATTTCTGTGTTTTCCTCCTGTTGTAACTTTGGCTGTGACATCATAACCCTGCCCATCAACACCCCACCTCTCTGCCTTCCCACCCCCCCTCACCAGCCTCCTACCCCCCAAACACTCCCCCCACCCCCCACGGAGAAGAAGGGCTCCTGTCAGCTCCAATGTGTGAAAAATACAAAGCTACCAGGAGTGCCCCTCCCTTTCCTCGGCCCCCTCCTCTCTTCCCCTCCCTGCCTTACCCACCGCTCAGCCTCGGCTCTCTCAAGCCTTTTAACAATGATCCCATCTGTTTGACATGTGCGGAAAGGTGGGCTGGATTCATATAATCTGTCAAGTGAATCAGATCAGAAACACAGCAACCCCCTCCTCAATTCCATCACACACGCAAACACACACACACACACATACACACACACACACACTGAGCAAAAGTGTGAGAGAAGTCAGACTCACACAGCACCCCCCACTCTCGATGCCAGGGAGAAAGACAGCAAACATGCCAAGGGAAGCCCACATTTATACATATATAAATTCTGTTGCTTATTTGTTTATGACAAACACCCACACCCCAAGTCCTCTACCCCTCTTCCCCAAAGCCTTCCACTCCGCAAGTGCACAGATTTCAAAGCTGGTAGAATCTGTTTTGAAATCTCCAACGAGAGGGTTTTTCCCCCTTTTTTCACTCCAAAGCACTATCTGTGGCGATCAGACTGGAGCAGGGTTGCCAGCAAACGGAGGAGGCCCCTTCTAGGGTACAGCTTTCAAACCAGCGAAGCTAGAGGGAATGAATTTAAGGACACACAGCAGGAGCTGGCTGCATTCATTTCATTTTGACGGGGGTAGTTGGGGGAGGAATATCATTTCTGAAATGTCCAAGGAATGAAGGGAGAGGATATGGATTTCTTAAACAGTTTTGCAAGAGGAGCGGTGTCTTGTTCTGCAGGTAAATCTATAAGGCAAGAAATTGGAGCTTACAGATAAACAAGGACCAGGACGGAGAGGGAGAGGGAGGGAGAGGGAAAAGAGCAGAGGGGAGAGGAAGGAGAGGGATGGGGGAGATTGGAACATGGAGAGGGGGAAGAAGGGGAGAGGAGAGAAGGGGGCGAGGGGGGGAGGAGAAGGAGGGGAGCAGAGGGGAAGGGGAGGGGGAGGGGAGGAAAGGAGGGCTAGGGAAGGAGAAGAGTCTGGGAGGAGAAAGGGCTGAAAAAGAGAAGTAGGGAAGGGAAGAGGGAAGAAGGAGCCAGGCAGGAGGAGGAGAGAGCAAGAGGTGGAGACGCACGTAAACTATGGAGACCAGGAGAGCAGCTAGACCTTGGTGGTCCAACACAAAGAAACCAGGGGCAGGTGACACAGGGAGACCCCACGAGAGGGGCAGGGGGTAGGCTCCAGGCACAGAAAACAAAGGGTACACAGCAGAGGGACTGCCTCGCAGGGATCAGGGGCCGGGCACAGTTTTAGAAAATCGGATTGCCAGGCTTCAACATTGTCTCCTTAAAGAAGCCCTGCTCCCTGCTCTTTCCTCCCTGCAGCTCTTCCTCCAACACCCACCTCCACCTTCCCTCTTTCATCTGCTTGCTCCTCGTGTATCTTCCCCTGGAGAGTTTAGCAGTAAGATTCAGACACGGGTGTGTGCGCACACACACCCCAAAAAAGCCACCCTTGACAGCCCCTTTGTTTCTATCCTCAGAGAATGCTGGGTCCTCATAGGAACCCAATGCCTGGGCGGTTGTGACCATCTGCACTTCATTTCAACCCAAATTGTATTGTTTCCTTTAAGCCCAGGACGTCAGGGCTGTTTTGCTTGTATTTACTGCCATAGTGGCATTGGTCAGTCTCCATTAGCACTGTCATCATTATTATTCAGTCTTTGAGCAAAGAGGGCAGCGTGTCCACGCTGGTGTGTCACCTGCAGCAGAGAGCGCTGGCAGGCAGACGGGAGAGAGGCAGGAGAGAGGAAGGAGAAAGACCCCTGGGCACGGTCACTGATCCTCTCTGACTTTCTGATTCTAAAATCTGGTCCCTTGAGGGAAAGCTCAGCTGGGAGCCAGCCAGGGAGCGTAGTAATAAAAACCTCCCTGAACACAACCAAATGCAGTATCTATATATAGGCGCCGGATCTGTTTTAGCTACTTGCAGTCTAAAACGACACCCGGAAACAAACATTTCAGCAATATGTTTATTGGAATCTTATTCAGCTTGTGCTGGAAACAGTGAGACTCTCTGAAGGATTCCACTTGAAGATTCAAGGTTGCTGCTTTCTGCTCTCCCTGCTCTGCTGCTCGGAGCTGGGAGTCAGTGGCTCTGGCATTCCTGGGGTGGCCGAGATGCCTGCAGGGTAGCCTGTTGCAGCCCCCTTTTGTATGAGAGAGGGAACAAGAGTAAAGTCTCAGAATTCATGACAGGGCCAGACACGGCAGCCAGATCTCCTGCGTCCCAGGCCAGTATTTTTCCCTGTGTTTTCACCTGTCTTGCTGGTTTGCAAGCGACAGTTAGCTGGAGGGGGAGGCCTGCCGTGTCCCACACCCTGGTAGAAGTGCCTGGGGAATGTGTGCTGGTCATGTGTGTGCTGTAAGTCAGAATCACGCAGCCCTCAGAGCGAAATGCAAATCTGATCTCACTCTCCTCCCTGTGGGTTTTGAGCCAAGACGAGCCCTAGCTTCTTGCCGAGCTGTGTGGCGCTCCGTATGTTAGACAGTCCTATTTTTACCACAACACAATTGCTATTATAAATTATTAGTGAAGTCCATGGCCATGCTTTGAGGACTGTCTTTCATCCGAACAGATCAAAGTGTGTCGCGGACAGGTTAGGCTTCCCAGCGCCTCGGCGCAGTGTGGCCGAGGCAACATGCCAGAGACCTCTATCCCCTGGTGACAGCCCTGGTGGGGTAAGTATTTCCTGTAAGGTTTTGAGCCTCGAGATCGGCCTCTGGAGCCCTTGAGCTGGGGAGGAGTTTCACAGTGATGCTGGATCCTGCCCTGCTCATCAGATGAACAGAGGCTCCGCCATGTTATGCTTCAATCTGGGTGTCTGCACCTAGAATCTCTTCAAAGGGCAACCTCATAACCAGAAAAATAGGTACACTCGGACACTTGCAAATCCTCTTTCTTGATGCACATCTGTGTGCATTCTCTCTTCCTGACCACAACGAT